AAAAAATTTCTCTCATACTATCTTGGCTCTCCATTAATTTCGTCAATTGAGAATAATCTCAACAGTTGTTTTCGAATTTGAGTATGAACTATGATAATCTCATACCTGCCACGTTCAGAATGGATGAAGCCTAGTTAATTGGCAGGTCTCACTGGTTAATGTTATTCATCGCCTTGTGCTTTTGTTATCAAATTTCATTGAAAAAAACTAAATAATAAAGATATCGAGTCAAATATTTTCTTACACTTGAAGGAATTGTTAACGATATAAGATTATTCTTTAAGATTTATTATCACTTTTATTTGTTACATAAATATCTTTTAATTAAGTGAGAGGTGAATTATGGTATCGATCTATATAATGACTATAATATCCATAAATTATCTATAACAACCACTCATAACTTTGTTTCTCATCATATTTAACTGTCTCCTTATAAAATATCATCATTACTATTTATTTATTTTCAATTGACTACTTAGCACAGCCTATGATTTTCTATTTAAGCCTAAAAAGAAAAATAAATTCTAAGCCATAAAAGAGGTATCTGTCTAGCAGTAAACTATTCGTTTAAGGTCTTGTTATTGAGTCATGTTGTGTTGAGTTTTTAATTTTTTTAAGTTATAATGTGTTAACATATACTTAATTGATACTTAGTAACATCCAGAATTGTGCCGGGTCGAATTTGTATTGTGTATTAACTATATATTGTGTTTAGCAAATTCTTATTGTATTTATCCAGGTTTTTGTGGACCCATTTATTTAACTAGTCAAACAAGTTTATCCGTTTATCATCCAACTCATTAAACTTCAATACAAATCCATTAATTCCGTATCGATTGTGTATGGAGTATATAGATTATGTCTGGAATTGACACATCTATTTAAGAGATCAAAACTCTCTTTGGAGCACATAATATCTATCTCTTGATTCATTTGATGAACTTGATCATGTATTAAGGATGACTTATCGTTATTATTTTAGAATCCAAATTGAAATTTTAGTTTGTTTTTATTGAAATGATCAAAATATTTTATTTTCAATAAAAATCAAATTAAATCAGTGGTGAAAAATCGAAGTACTCATATTTTAGATAGTTAAATAGATTTTCGTCAATATTTTGAAATCAAAATTCTAAATTTTTTTGGAGAAATTTAGAGGCCGATCTCTCTACATAAACTTATTTGAAGATAAGTCTAGTAAGGAAACTTATTTGATTTTAAGTTCACTTTTTTTCAAGTTTACTATCTTATCCCTACCTTTTGAAAAAGGCATAACAGACGTCTGTCTTGACTGTCTTCTAAACAGACGAACAAAACTCATTCATCAACATACACTCATGCATAATAGGCTTCAAATTCGGCAATAACCGTCCAAAGCAGTAGAGGAGTTTTATTGTGGACTCCATTGGCGAAGTTATGGTTAATTCCTCTGTATTCAAAACATCTTCACAAACTTTGGGATTCACAAAAAGATTTAAAGGTATGTGATTTTACACTATCTTGATATTTATTTTAGGGTTTTAAAAAAACATGAACATGATTTATTTTTCAAACTGTCAACTGATTTTTTTTTTTGCATTCATAACAATAAAATTGAGATTTTCTTGTTACTATATTTAAGTGTTAAAAAGATTTAAAGGTATGTGATTTTATACTATCTTGATGTTTATTTTAGGGTTTTAAAAAAACCTGTACATGATTTATTTTTCAAAATATCAACTGGTTTTTTTTTTTTTTTTGCATTCATGACAATAAAATTGAGATTTTCTTGTTACTACATTAAAGTGTTAAAAAGATTTAAAGGTATGTGATTTTACACTATCTTGATGTTTATTTTAGGGTTTTAAAAAAAACCTGTACATGATTTATTATTCAAACTATCATTTTTTTTGACAATAAAATTGATATTTCCTTGTTACTATATTAAAGTGTTATGTATTTTGATTTTTTTGTTTGTAGTTGTGTAAGACATTAAAAATTCTTTGGTTGTGTGTCTGTGAAATATATCATGTTATTGTGTGAGGACTTGAAAAATGTATCTCTTAATGTCGATATCTTAATGTTTTTGATTGTTGTTGAGTGTCCTAATTTAATTATTGACGATGTGTTATATTGCTAGAAACTTTGTAAATATTCAATTTATGGATTGTATTTTCACTACAATCCTACGAGAATTGATGTTACTGGGAACACATACAACCTTATAATTTGTGAAAGTCGATGTGTTACTGGGCAGAAAACTTTGGTGTTACTATGAAAGTTAAAAGTGTATGTTACATGATATACGTTTAAAATGTTTGTGATTGATAGTGAAAAGTGAAAATTGAGGCTGAGTTTGTGTTACTATTTGGGTTTCTTAAAACAATCCCAGTTTTATTCGTTGTGTTATTGTAAAAAGAACACGAGTACAGGTTACGGTGGACCGATACACTTTGATGCACTCTAATTTGTTTTTGAACTTTTGATGGGGTTATTGTTTGCTTTGAAGTGTTGATTGAAAGTGAGTTCTTTTTTAATCAACAACTGAAAATGATGTTCATGGACTAGTGTTATCATGATATCACAAGAGTTCTCAACAGTTTAAGTTACTTTAGGACAATGTTATGTATAGTGTAATCTTCAAACCATAAAATTGTAACATATAGACACACAAAATTGTGTTTGTTTGATGTTACTGAAGATATATTACTGAAATTTAATTAAGAATTAATGTTACTAACTTGATGTTACTATGTGTACACCTTGTAATTTGGTGGAATTGTTCTTGTTACTTTTGCACAAAATTTTTAATGCTTGATATCATGTTACTATATGTTGTATGTTACTACTATATGCTACGTGTTACTATTTTGTATTAAAAATTCAAATTGGATTTTGAATTGATAAGGAAAACTTATGATCTGAATTAATTCGTCCATTATGTTTCTATATATAGCTAGTAGAGTATAAATATTCCATATATTATTCAGTTAGTTATCAGGATTTTTATTGAAAAGTGATTTCCAAATAAAACTCAAAATAAGGCTTCCATATATACCTAAAAGCTCTAATTTTCTTAGACTTTTCATAACTGGACAAAATTAACAACGTTAAGGGTAATATTGAAATTTAAAAAAAAAGTGGACTTAAGTGTCTACATATAAGTTTAAATACGGATTTAGACTCCAATAAGTTTATTTGTCAGACTTATCTCTGAACAAGTCTATCTAGGAGGATTCACTCCCAATTTTTACTTTTTTTTTTGCTACATTTTCATTCATGGTCTAAAACTACTAAAACGTTTTCTATTTACAAGTTAACTAATACTATGCACCAAAAAATAATTTTAATTATTATTAAAGAATGGGTCAAACTCAACCCGAACGAAAAATTATATCCGTTTTATCAAAACGTAAAAGCATGGAATATATCCTGATAGTCGAAATTCATATGCTATAGTTTTATATTACTATCATATCAAATTATCAAATCGTGTTATGGGCAGGAGATTAATTGAGGTGCGCATAAACTAGTCTGAATACTCTTAATCATTGAACAAAAAAAATAAATAAAAATCAAGTCGTGTTATGAATTATCAACCTTCCAAGGTGCTTTGAGTGCAAAGACCAAAATTTTATTTCGGTATATTATTTCGGTTATCTGGGAAATAGAAATATTTTGATGTGTTTTGGAAATATTTCGACCCGTTTCAGAAACAAAAATGAAAAAAATTAAAAATTTAAGAATTTTTGTTTCAAAATATTGGTTGAAATATATCAAAATATCTTGAAATATTTTAAAATAATTGTGCAAATACATTGAAATATTGAAATATAACAACATTTTGAAGTATTATGGAATACCTCAAAGTATTAAAATTTCAATTTCATCATTAATTTATTTTGATCTCTATAAAAAAAAATATTTCAGATATTTCGATAATTTTAAAACGATATTTTAAACTTTATTTGAGTGACGTATTATAATACATACATAAAAATGTATGTTATAAGATGAGTCGTTGGTGCTTGTTTTTTTCAAAAAAAACGATAAACACACATACACGGGATAGTATTATAGGGCTTTATACACACACATAACTCCAAAACTATCCCATGTAAGAAAGCCCGAGCCCTTACCGCGTTCACGCGACTGGGCCCACCTCGGACCCGTGGGTGCTTGTTGTCCAAGCAAATGTGAAAGGGTGCGTGACTGATTACGTGTTGAAAGTCAGACTCGTTCGTTTGTTTGTTCAAAAAGCCTACGAAGAAAAGTGAAGTAGATGACTTCTTTTGAGGCCAATTACTTTGTTATCCTTTTTCTTTAGCAGAACTACACAAGTGCCATTGACAGATTGCGTAAAAAAAAAATAAAAAAAAAATATAAAATTGATAGACTGTGGACAAGGAGAACAAACTGGAGTAGAGGAATATGTTTAGCAGCAGTAAACTACTCATTCGAGATTGTGTCGTATCGGACTTATATCGCATTTTAGTTGTGTCGTATTAGGATCTCATAAAATAAAATTTGTATCGTGTTGAATTCGTATTGAGTATTAGTTGTATATAAACTATGTTTAAGAGAATAAAACATATATAATGAAACCCCAATTCATCAACTTTGTATTATTTTTGTATTGGGTTAGCATATCTTATTCCAAATTAAGAAGCATGTTTGAATAACAAAACTCTCTTTTGAGCGTATATAACAATTTCACCAAGCCGAAAAAAAATTTACATTCTTAATAAAGAAAGGATCAAATCTCAAAGTGAACGAAAAATTATAACCGTTTGTTAGGAAACGTAAAAGCATAGAACATAGCAAGAAATATCACCAAGTCCTAATTTTTCTTTGAACAGGTCAAAATCCTATGCTGAAACTTGGAAGTTGAAACTATCCGTTCAACTTTCAACTGCTCATAACCCTATAACTACTCTCTCAACCTTAAACATTCATCTATCAAAATCTCTCTCTCTCTCTCTCTCTCTCTAGAGAAAACTGCTTGGGTTATTAAATGGCCACCATGAAAGCACTCCACCCTCACCTTCCATCAATCAACCTTGCCAGCATCAATAAACTTTCCAAAATCCATGCCAATCAGGAAACTGTAATCGATATTCATCCACATCGAAAAACTTCTAACCCGGCCAATCGCCTAGCTGAATCACTCTCTTACCCCCTACATCTCCATGTTGGAGAACCAGCCCAAAAAAGCCTTCAATATAGCACTAATTGGAATGCTCATATTGAGGAGAAGCACAACACTCCTGTTATGTCTCCTAAGGAAGACATATAAGAGAAATGGCATGAAATCCACGGTTCTTATGAGTGGGACAATCTTCTTGATCCACTTCACCCGTGGCTTCGACCAGAGATCATCAAATATGAACGTATGATGCCTTTGATTTCGATTCATTCACAGAGTATTGTGGGAGTTGTAGATACAATTGTCATAGGCTTTTTGATAAATTAGGCCTTGATAAGCATGACTACAATGTGACTAAGTATATTTATGCTATGTCACACATAAATTTGCCTCGATGGTTTGAGAGGTCTCACTTAGGGGAGACATGGAGCAAGGACTCAAATTCGATGGGATTCGTAGCAGTTAGTGATGATGAAGAGTCAAGTCGAATTGGGCGAAGAGATATAGTTGTGGCATGGCGTGGCACTGTGGCACCATTGGAGTGGTATGAAGATTTTCAAAGGGAATTAGAGCCTATTGGGCATGGGGAAGCAAAAGTGGAACATGGCTTTATTAGCCTTTACAAGTCCAAAAGTGAATCAACTAGATACAATAAGTGTAGTGCCTCGAAGCAAGTCATGAAAGAAGTGAAGAGGCTAGTGCAATTCTATAAGGCAAGAGGTGAAGAGGTGAGTCTTACAAGCACTGGACATAGCCTAGATGGTGCATTGGCACTCCTAAATGCTTATGAGGCTGCTACATCTCTCCCCAGCCTTCATGTCAACGTTATATCGTTTGGTGCACCTAGGGTGGGGAACATAGCTTTTCGAGATGAGTTACACCAAATGGTGTGAAGACACTGCGGGTTGTCGTAAAACAAGATTTAGTCCCTCGGATGCCTAGGATCATCTTCAATGAAAGCTTACAAAGGTTTGATGACATAACTGAAACCCTAGATTGGGTTTACACACACGTTGGAGCTGAATTGAAGCTTGATGTGAGATCTTCTCCCTATCTTAAATACAGATTCAACGTGTTAGGGTTTCATATGCTAGAGACATACCTTCATCTCGTTGACGGGTTCCATAGCACAGCCTCAACAATTAGGTCTGATGCGAAAAGGGATATTGTTTTGGTGAACAAAGCATGTGATATGCTTGTAGATGAACTAAGAATTCCTCATAGTTGGTACCAAGAGGCCAACAAGGGACTAGTTTGCAATGCTCATGGTAGGTGGGTTAAACCTAAGAGGGACCCAGAGGACATACCTTCACCTACTAGTGAAGAACATGATCATGTGCTTGGGATGATGCAGGAAAATTATGGAGAAGTTGAACCCTTGTTATGTGTATAGAACACAACATTTTGCAAGTCAGAAGCTCAATGATGTTTTTAGGTGATCAAATCTTCACCAAAACTAGCATATGTAAAGATAGATTAATAGAACAAAGAAATCTTCATGTAAATTATTAAACTTGATATTATGCTCTCATATGCAGGCCAAATGTTGCCCTATGTGCCATTAATAAATGGTGTTTATCAACCCCACTTCATTTTCTCCATACTATTTTTGTCTGATTCTCTTTCATGAATAAATCCGGATAAAATTCCATGGACAACCAACAGTATACCTAGAAATTAAATTGGAGTAAAAAGGGAATAAGGAAACTTCACTTCCAATGTTGGGATGCTACCATTAATTGATATGGTGGTTGTTTTTGTTGTTATTACTACGATGAAACCGGTGGCAACCGATTGGATTTGAATCGGATTTCGGCCATTCAAATTAACGGGTTGTATTTTTGTAATTTATATCCGGATTCGTTATGAATTAAAAAATCGATTCAGTCTTAATAACACAAACTATTTTCAACAAAGTAAATTTGATTTTCAGCTCAATTTCACTAATTAATCACGCAAATTTATCATGCATTTACATATAAGTTGGACTGGACAATTAATCAGAACAAACATTGGTATAATCAAACCCATATCTGAATACATATGCCGGACGGACATTCGGATTTGATTAACAGGTCAAAAATATCAATTCATATTTGACAAATTAGACACGGATTCACCGTCCACATAAATAACTATAATTAGTGTTTGTAAGACCGACTAGAGATTAGCACCACCAGATCTTGCTATACACCAGAGCCTGTTAATTTGTGTCCCTTTGTTGTTATTCGTCCAATGCTTCGGCCAACCTATGTTTTTGGTAGTTGAAGAGATCCAAATACTCAAAATCAATTAGGTTTTCAGACACAACAGGATCTGTCTGTGTGATTGGGTCATGTAGTCTATGTTTTTTATGGACAATCCCTAGTATGATTGATGGGTCATATAATATGTTTTTGGACAAGACAAAAAACAAAAAAAAAAAAAAAGCATATTAGGCTTCTGCCCGCTCTACTTTTTATAGACGGATAGAAGCCTCCTTATTCCTTTTAATATGGTTATCCAAAAATACGAAGTGAGTTTGCCTATAAATTGACATTAGATTTCAACAAGTCAAAGAATGAGAAATATATCTTAAATAAAGTTATAACAAAAAAGTGTGAATTGTATTTTTTCGCAGCTAAATTTCTTTCAATGTTGTTTATATGATGTAAATTCGATTTTTTTAATATTTTTTATTTATATTTATATTTATTTAATGCAATTACCTATATTGTTTTAGGACTTCATGAATTTATAGCTAGTAATTTACTTTTTAAATGTTTTATTTTTTAGTCTGATATCCATTATGTTGTTCCCTTTGATGGGTTGAAGTGGAGACCGGGATTAGTAATTGTAGCTCAACGTAAAAACGTAGACTTAGCTATCTTGAAGGGGATGGGATAAAATCATGGGAAAAAAGAAATTTAAAATATAAGGAGGGAATCAAATCAAGACTAGCGTGATTTGGTCAAAAGGGCGTAAAAATCAATCATAAAATACAAATACTTAAAAAAAAAAAAAAAAAAAAGCATATAAATTACACAAGTTATGGGTCCACTCATTTGACTATAGCATTACCAACCATGGGATTTGATAAAATCCAATATTTATCCAACGTAATAAGCCGTGTGAAATTCAATCAAATCCAATCTGACCAAGTCCAAGGATTTGACATCGTTTTCAAATTTGTTTAATTCATATCCGACTTATTTATTATATTGTATAGTTAAATTTACGTCGCGTATAAATTATAGTTAGTCCTATTTGTATGAACCTATTTATGTCAAGGGTCTAATAAATTATTGGTTACCCCTAAATTCGTACCCACAAATTTCATATCAGTTTTATTTGTTACAGAGATATCTATTAATTAACAGAGAGGTGAATTGTGGTATCGATCTATGTAATGACTAAAGTACCCATAAATTGTCTATAATAACTGCTCATAACTTCCTCCCTCATCATATTTAGTTGTCTCCTCATAAAATTTTCGATTAATCTTGACAACAAAGTCTAAATCATTTGGTCTAATCCCTTCATTTTTTTTTTGTGCCACTATTGGTAGTACTGCATCAAATGCAGTTGATCCATTAGGGCCACTGTGTGAAGTTACAAAAAAAATTACACTGTATGGGTTCATGTCGACGCTGTATATGCAAGAAGTGCATTTATATGGCCTGAGTTTCGCCATTTTCTTCATGGTGTTGAAGGAGCAAATTCATTTAGCCTTAATGCACACAAGTGGTCCTTGACCACTTTTGATTGTTGTTCCTTTGGTTAAGGAACCAAGTAACCTTGTGTTTACACTCGAATAATAAAAAACTCAGGAGTGACGCGTGACAAGGGTCAACGGTCAGGATTAAGTCAACAAAGATTCAAGAAAGATAAGATAAAAAAATCTCAATGGATCTTGGATATCATGAGCCAACGATTATAGATGGTTTGGTGCATGATAGATGATGCCGAAAATAAATGCCCTGAAACTAGTTTCGTGGGTGGAAAATATGACTCTGACAATAGCCACCACCTATAAATATGGAGGCCTAGAGTATAGAGAAGAGGTCTTTTGATCACATGGTATTCCAGAGCTTTCTTCCAAGCTATTGAGCTCAGTTGATTTCTTTTACATAGTAATCGTCACTCCGGTGACCCTTTTTTCATTTAATTTTAAGTATAGTAGTTCATGCATCAATTCCTCTTTATCGTTCACATTACTGTATTTTTTCCAAGTTATTTTAAATTCCTAGTTCATTCATTTGTTATTCAAAAAATTGTTTAGGTCCTTAATCTCCGA